TAGAGATAAAGAAGTTTTCAAACTTCTAAGTTGAGGGATTACCCAGTTCTCAACTCACCAAGCCATCGAACTTCTAGGTTGGCAACTGAGAAGTGGCTGCAAATTATAAGCATTAAATTGTCCATTCTCTTTGGCATAATATCATATATACCCACAAATATGTGATTACCTAAACACATTCTTAACTGTAAATTAGTTTACAAGCCTAATAGAAACATTGCGAGTTCAACCAGTTTATGTTTCTCTTGTTCCTCTAGTTTGTGTTTCTCCTACTTCCCTCTTACTTTTCTCTCTCACTCTCAATCGTTTAAATATGTGTTTACATCAGTTATGTTACTTATATAAGAGACATCATTTTTCTTACCTCGTTAGTATATTTTATATTTTACTAATTATTAAATAATTAGTTTTGGCTAAATATGTTTATTAATGTTCTGAGTTAAACATATTAGTGATAATAATAGGTTTTAAATTTAAAAAGTAGATTCGAAACATTTTCCACCTAAAATTCTGTTTTAGATGGAGAACTTCTCATGGTTCTATCCTGATCAAATTTGGATGCAAAATAACCAAGAATACTAATCCTCATCTCCAAGTGATTTGAAGATATGAAAATATGCTCAAACTACTGAAACTTTTTTGGTGTCAAAATTGAATAAATAGAAGAACATGAAATTATTGATATGGTGTAATCGACTACGTTGGATCACAATTTTGAAACATCCTAGAATAATTGGATGAACCTCAAATCATCCCATATATAAATAATATCAATCAGTCACCTTGCCTGATATCAATAATCTGGAAAAAATGAATTTATTTCAGTTAATCCTTGCCAATTCGTTTTAACCATTTTCACATCTATAAGTACACAACTAGAACTAGAGAACATAAACCATATAGAAAGGGGTGATTTAAACCTCATATGATGGACTAACAACTGGTTTAAAAGAACAAGAGTATTAGCCCAAATTCAATAAAAAAGTTATTGGTTTGACCAAAAAAAAAAGAGTTATTGGTAAATTTTTCAAATCTAAAATACCATATATATTATATATAAATGTAGCTTAGATTACTTTACACGTGGCAATCAAAGTATGGTTGGTCGGTTGTAAACTGGGAGATGGTGGAAGAAAAGCTTTCAAGTTCCAAGTGCATGCATCTGAACAGAGTAGAAACAAATTTGAGATTTATATAATAATAATACCCATGATATTAGTAAAAGAAGATGTAAAAGAGATGCTGTGAGTTTGAAAATCTGTATCACAAGCACACGCAAAGAAAGTGTAACGCCCCGACCGCCCACAGCTAATGGACCATCCACGCCCGCTCTCTTGGCCTGTGGGCCCCATCCCGTTCCAATGGTCAGTCCGTTAATTTTCCAAGGTTATAGAGTCATGTTTACTGACCCTGCAATCACCACTTGACCTTTCCCCGTGCTTTGGTCTCACTTACACGGTATCGCAAATCACTTCCCGATAGGTCACCCATCCTTTGACTACTCCAGCTCAAGCACGCTTAACTCTGAAATTCTCTCTAGATACGCTCCCGGAAAAGTAAGTGTACTTTGATGATATAGGTAGCCAAATCAATTCTCTTAAGACTTTTCCAAATACCACAAACCGAGATGTTACAAAAACCAAAGGCAGGCGCATACTAGAATAGTCACAATTTTTTCTTTAATCCAGAGTCGTACATTTAACTTCCCTTTGGTTCACTTTTTCAATCTATTTACTTCCCTTCAACCAATTTCTTAAAAGTTATGTTTCTGTTAATATATATATATATATATATATATTTTTAAATATATATAAGATTTTTGAGTAAGCAGTTGGTCTGTTTATAAGTTTTTTTTAATCCTATCTCAATATCTGTTCAGAAGTTAGTCACATCCAAAATTATGCCGTTGTCGTTACCAAATGGATATTGGTCTAAGACTTATAGAGCCGGTCCTAGAATTTAAAAGTTCGGAAATAAGAAAAAAAAATGTGGTCCCTTTTTAAGTAATAAAACAGAGAGAAAATACAAACTAGAATTGAAGCCATAGTTTGTCAAACCATAGTTACCAAATGGATATGAGTTTATCACTAGACTAAAGAGAATATTAATAATGTGATCAAAATGAGTTAAAAAATAAACGGTTCCAAGGAGGAGCTTCTTCGGCTTCGTTCAAGGGCTGGCACTGCATATAGTGATGAATTTCGAATGCTTTCTAATAGGAGTTAGATATTAATTTTGTTCGGAGAGTGCTATTTAACCACCAGAGAAGACGTATACATCATTCCAGAACTACTATCAACTTTAATACTAGAAAATGTATAGTTAGAAAAGGAGTTTGATGTTGATTTAAAAAACCTTAGCGTTGAATGTATCAATTCGTATTTTAGGTTTAATTTTAATTTAGTTTAAAAATCAATTAATAAAACAAAAAAACAAAAGAAATTATCATCTCTGATGAGTTTTATTAATACAACAGGCAAAACAAAAGATGTAACATAAATAACTCAAACCATAAAATCTATAAAATAAAAGTAAAATTTAATTTCACAAAAATATGAAAAAAACTCAATGCCTTCATGTTAAAATATCTTATCTCATATCACCACACAAAATTATGATAAATTAATGATTTGTATCATTTTTATATAAATTAATTTAATGTTGAAAAATTAAATCCGGACCTGATGTATACAACAAGTCCATCAAAATATAAATAGACGATATGTTCAATTCTAGTTAACTAGTATTTTTATATTTTAAATTGAAATTTGACTGGATTTCAAGCATAATGTGACTTCAAACTTAATATAATTTTTAGTGAAATATAATTAAATGCTTGATTTTACCATTATTAATATACTAAACACAATTAATTAAGCATGTTGTTAGTCAGTTTGACTGAATCATTTGGATTAAGAAAAAAATCCAAGTGAACGGTTTGGATTTAAACTATGGTTTTGGGTTTTTTTTTGAACCAGAATTTCGCTTTTGGTTTATCTCAGTTTGAGTTCGATTGGTTGTTTTTACACTTAATACTAATTTTCACAAATAATTATAAAATTTATTTATCAAATAAAGTTTAAAGAATTTGTTACTAATATCTGGATGCCAAATTAAAGTAATATTAAAATGTGCATAAATATTATAAAACAAAATTGTTGGCAGAGGATAGGGAAACCTAAATGGGAAAGGAAGGTTATATGCTATATACTATTTTCGAGAAATTTATAGAAATATCATTTTAGAAACTCTTTGAAAAGTAATAAAACAGAAAAGTATTTCAAAATAAAATTATATAAAGATGCACCACCAAGATTTATAAATTATTTTCATTTGTAATGTAGAAATGCAGTAATGTAAAATGGAAATAAATTTTTGTCACAAAATCCTAATTATGTTAGAGACAAAAATTATATTTAAATATGTATAACCTATTGGAAAAGTGTCGATAAGAAGCCCATTAATTTTGGTAAAATAAGAAGGGGGAATTTAACTAATATTTTGAGAGAAATTTTGCGAATCATTTTTAAACTTTCATTTAAGAATTGCAATAAGGAACATGTTTTCTAAGTAAAAAAGAGTGTGATCGATGACAAGGAGTGCAACTCTTACTGATTAATGAATTAATGAATTCAATGGAATGTAATGGAATTCAAATTTAAAGTGAAATCCATTGTTATTGGATTGAGTATTTGTTAGATGGAATATGAAATGCATTAAAATCACATGTTATTCAATTTCCATTGGATCTTGTTAGAATTTAGTTTTAATGGAATTTGATGTACTTTTATATGAACAACTAGAGTAAACAAAATCCTACGTTTTTGGCTTGGATTTTAGATTTCTAATATGTTTTTTTTTTCACGGGATCTATTCTACGGCAAGAAATATAGGGTTGATTGAAATGATAATCTTTTGACTTTTTTAAAAAGAAATATATTCTTGATGTTTTCGATTGATCTTCTTCTTTCCATTAATTTTATTTTCTCGCTTCTGGGTCTGATCGAGGCTGCCATTGTTTTCTGATGTCAAACAAATGATTATGGATATGATATGCTCCATGGTTAACTGGATTATTTGAAGTGGGGTGTCTCTTGAATTTTTGCCAATGTATCTGGTGTCTACGTTCAGCAACACCAAAGTATGTTATTGAAAACCGTGAAAGTCCTCCACCTTCGTCTGAATGTTAACTGTTTGATAACTTAAATTATTTTTATTTAAAAAAAGACTTAGTAGTTTTTGGAAGAAAAAGATTTCATAGCAGTTATCAAGAATCACTACTTAGAGCCTGACTGGTTACAACGCAGCGATTACGGTTGCGGTTGTGGGCGTTTGCGGATGCGGGAAATTGCGGTTTTAAGCGTTAGTAAGAGATTTTTACGACTGGTTCAACGGTTAAAAATTGTTGCATTTGCGGGATACTTATGACTGGTTTATCCTCAAATACAATAGCGGTTAAGTAATAAATTAACAATATTTATATTTTATATAATTATCAAAATATTAAAATCATATTTTCATGATAAATATAAAATTTTTATTGAAAAATCTGCAATATTAAATTTTTAAAAATTAAATAAAATATTTTTTTTGGAAATTTTATAATATAAATATTTCAGTATTTTAATTGAATATTTATTTTTATATTTATATAGTTTTTTGGAAAAAAAAATATTTTTTTATCCTTCCGCAATCGTCCGCAACCGTAAACGCTAGCTGGAACTAGTTTTTGATTTTAGAGATTCAGAACGATTTGAAGCGATTTATAGCGTTTTCTGTAATTATTGCAAAACACCAACAACCGCTACCAACCGCAAAAGCTGCGTTTGTGGGTGATGGCAGGAAAACCAATCAGACCCTTAGTCCACATGTATTGTAGTGGAATCATTAATTTCCATTGAAATACACTCAAACTCTGATTTCAATACTTGATTCTAAATATAGAGAAAACAAGAGTAAAAATAATAGTATAAATAGTGTTCGGATATTTAACAAATAACGAAAGCCGAAGTCAACCGCTCTCTCATAAGCGATCCTAAAGACGATTTTCTGGTGACAAATTAAAGACTCGATCTAGGACCACCGGCCTTCTGTCGGTGGTTCCATTTTCCTCTTTTATTTAGTTGTTTTTTTTTCATTTTATTGGTTTTCTGGTTTTTGTTCTTCACCCACATTTCAATGGCTTTGTGTCCATTTGTGTTGTCGAGAGTGAAACTTTTCACTCTACACCAAATCCTCCTTTCATTATTTTTGAATCATGGGAAGTTTAACCGGTTAGTATCTCCGATAGCGGCATCTACACTGGTATGTCTCCTCTGGTCATCGATTATGGTCTACGTCGATATTGGCGTTGTTGTTGTCTCCCTTTGGGAATGTTCTTGTCCGACCTTTGGGTGCGGTTTTCTTATTACTCTCGAGTTATCGATTGAGAATCATTGGCTTAAATTGGTAGTCTGGTATTGGAAACCGCCATGGCCAAATGAGGAAAAGTGTAGGAAATGCATCAGAGAGACATCAAATAGACGTTTGGGTCAATCATCTAATATACGTGTCGTCTCTTCATGTGATGGGGTGATTGTCATGATAATGTTTACAATTTATCACCGAGCGGGAGTTACTCGGAGATCTATGGTGGTCATCAACAAGTCAATATCAAAAGAAACAAGGAGGATGCTTCGACAACAAAACAACTTAAAGATATGGCTTTATCGATTTCAAAACAAAAGAATCTCAATGCCATGGATTATTACAACAAAACATGTTATCTCCTGCAGTGGGAGTGTTTGGGACGGATTGCGATGTAACAGATGGATCGCATCCAATGATCTTTTTATAGAAAAAAGGCATTTATTCATAAGAATTGAAAGCCATAAAAAAGATCTTGAAAGACCAAAGACGAAGTGGAGGAAAGCTAGCGAATCAGCCTATCCTACGAATGCGTTAGGAAGCATCGTGTTATTGCTGTCTCTGTTAAAAGTTCATTTGAACAACATGTTTGATGTTATTTTTGATTCATGTAATATGTTACATTGATTTTGATATCAATAAAGTTAAGATGTTAAAAAAAAATAGTGTACTCAAGAAAAATAAACTAAAACTAGCGCAACGTTGCACAAATCAAGAAGGAAGAAAGAAACAATTTGGTTAAATATATTTCCCTCCTAAAATATCGCTATACTAGATCTCGACCCGCACAACCGTGCGGGTATTTTAATACGAAAATATTTGAAGTTATATAATATTTCCTCCGTTTTAAATAGATGATGTTTCATAAGATTTATTTTATTTCAAAATATAAGATGTTTTGAGATTTTAAGGTTTATTTTGAGGTTTTAAAGTTATCTTTAATTTTATTGGAAACCGTTCAACCGATAAAATTTTACTTTTTTTTATAATTTGTTGAATGATTATAAAATTATATCCTTAAAAATACTTTTGTAAAAGAATATAAATTTCTTAATTTTTGTGCTATGATCCAAAACATCATATATTAAGTAACGGAGGAAGTAAAATTTATCAATAAATAAATATAATTTGATTGTATATACTATCCAATTTATAATAATATTTATGTAGCTTATAATATTATTAATTTAAAATTTATAAATTTTTTATTTCTGTAACAATTTTTAAAAACATTATTATGTAACGTTACTAATTTATATTTTTTTTCTAAATTTTAAATATATAAAAAATTAAATTAAATTGGACCTACATAATTCAATAACAAAATTTTTGGATATTGTTAAAATTATATTACATAATTTTAATTTTTTGTTAAAAAAAATTAATTAAATAAGTTATATTCTATGATAATTAAATTTTTAATCAAATAATTTTTGAAACTATATCTTGAAAAGATTCTATAAGATTTCAAAAGATTTTGTTATAATTTTCTTAAAATTATTTATTTGTATTTCAAATAAAAATTAAAGATATGAAAAGATATTATAATGTTGTTATGTTATATAAAATTACTAAGGATGGTTTAAACTAAAAAATCACACATGAAGTGAGTCATGACTTCTCTTTTAATATAATAGATGTACCATACAGTCATAGCCAAATATTTGATGTGATATTAGTCTTAACTTATTATCAGTATTTCATTTGATGTGATGCTGGTTCCGTAATTTTGAAGATGATTGGTCGGGTTGTAAATAGTGATTTTAACTTTAATTTCTATCTATAACCATTTAAATCACCAATTCTGTTTTAAGTAATTTTTTTAAATTAAAATAAAAAAACTAAAAAATAGTTATAAAAACTCTACTTTCTAAAGCAAAAAAATATTGCTGTAGAATTGCTGTATGAATATTTATCCTTTAAATTTTTTTTCTCATTTAATTTTTACAGCTACATTAGATACAACTACATTAAAAAAAGTTTACAGTCTAAATTTTACAGTAAAATTTTTACATCTACATTCCAACCAATCACCCCCAAATATTTCTTCCTTTATTCTAATTGAATTGCTTATTGTGATTGATCAATATTTTAGAACATCGTATGCTTTTATAATTTTTGTTGAATCTGAATTTGGTGTGTTCAAAATAAAAGTGTGAATTCGGTGGTGAGTTATTTGGAAAAAATCATTGAGAGATCACCAATTACAAAGAAAAAGATAACATGAATTCGACAAGAACAATGCAAACCTATGGAAACCATAAATTATTTTCTAGTTTGTGTGTCTGTGAATCATTTTCTATTTCAGAATTCCTTTCTATTTATAGTTGACTTTACTGATTTTTATATTTTAAGCCGATTTATCTTTTCCTACCTTTTTTATAAATGGACGCTCAATTATCGTTTCGCCTTGTTGAATGACTTAAGGTATGACTATATGGTATCATTAGCGTAAATAAAGCAAATGAAAATTTATTTCAGCCTATTTACTCTGATGTTATCCAGTCAAGTGGAGAAGATTTTAGTTCATTTACTCTAATAAGATGAAAAAAGTATAGGTAAATATTCCTTCAACTTTTGTTAGATGAAAATGTTAACGCTGGATTTGACAGTTTTCTTTTCTCCCATATTCACCTTAACATTTCCACTATTTTACTCCAATAGTTATCAGTCACAACCTTAGTCCATCTCTACCAATTTTGTTTTTAAATACTGTGAAAGAAGGGTTAACGGTCAACAACTGAATTTTAACAAACACACAAAAAAAATTTGAAGTTTGGGGAAGTGTATCAGCTAAAATGATCGGGTTATACGGCAGATGTATATGTATTAACTATTAAGGGAGTGCTAACAATATTGTGTGAAATGTTTAATGAGTGATCGATCAGTTATGAAACATATGGGTTAATAAGGTTTGAAGAGAAGTGGACGTCTATTAATATTAAGATTTGATAAGTTCATTGAAAAAGTTACAAATGGCATCTGAGTCAATTTGAAACAGTGCTTGGTTACATCATCAGCCTAATATAATAGACCATGACAAGAATTGTATCACTTATATAATATATATCATATAACTAAGTTCAGATATATATCATATACCAAAAAAAAAAGGTATATATATATCTCATCAATATTCAGATATATTATGCGCTTGTCCGTCTTAAATACTGAGTTTTCCATGCTTCTACCAATAATAATTTTCAGTTGGGTCGGCACGTTCCATCTTGAAGCATTTTGGGTGGTTGCTCAATAGAAGGTGATTTCTACAAATAACCCAGAGATATAACATTGTTGTTTGATGGTACATAGATCCTGTAGAAGTAGGTGGATATAACAGTTGAGACCTTACCACTAACACTGATGTTTTTACTAAGCTTTCATAGAAAAAGTAATCTGATTTATTTTAAATCATTTATGACATATCTATTGAATTTTTCAGAAAATGGAGGATGATCAAAATCCATATATGTTGTCTATAAAGCCGAAACTCTCTCCCCCTTGAATGGTTAAAAATCGCTCGTAATTTTGGACATAAATTCTACAAAAGAAATTATTATGATGCGACCTCGTAGCTAAGCTAATCTTTTCATATGAGTGCCCTCTTTTTTATGGCAACATATATGGCTGCCTTTAGGTCTGGGCGTTCCGGTACCCATTGGCGTTCGGATCGGATTTTTCGGATTTACGGGTTTTCGGGTTTACGTTCATAGGTCCCATTCTAATATTTTACTAGTACGGGTCGGGTTCGGATAATAACACTTCGGGTTCGGTTCAGATTTGTATTGCAGCATAAAACCCGTAAAGTAACCATATATCGTTTGGATTCGGGTTATTTCGGTTCGGTTCGGATATACCCGAAGTAGAAAACAAAATTTTGAAACAAAAACATAAAGAAAAACACTGAAACTGAATATAAATTAATCATACATACATAAAATTGATAAAAAAAAAATGCTAAATCAGTCATTAAAACATATATCACTTGTAAACAATGTGCATTACCTTACATATAAACTAAATTTATTATTTTAATGAACAAATTACAAAGTACTTATTTATAACTAATTATATATTTAAGGTATTTATTTATATTTTAATATTTATTGTATGTATCATATCAAAATAAACATTAAACTGAATATCTAAAATATATATATATATATATATATTTAAAATATTTATATTAACTATTAATTTCGGATATTTCGGATTACCCGTTCGGGTTCGGTAAAATAACACTTCGGGTTTGGATTTTTTTATACCATCCTATAAGACCCGTTCAGGTATTTTTACATTTCGGATCGGATAACGGGTCGGGTTTTTCGGTTCGGGTTCGGTTCGGATTTCGGTTTTCGGATTTTATGCCCAGGCCTAGCTGCCCTCTTAGAATATAAAAATCATCCGAAACATTTATTCTAGAATATAAGAGCATCCGTAATAACAATCTTTAATGGAAAGTCCTTAGAAAAAATAATTAAATAATTAGTAGATTCCATTAAAAATTAAGAATTCTATCAAAAAATCCTTACGTAAGAATTCTTTTTAGTGAATCCTTACACGTGGCAATCCGTAATTTGTTGATATTTTTTTTAATCTAAAAAAAAGTAATTAATAATTCAAAAGAACATTTTTCCTAAAGACTCCAAAGAGTAACACTATTGTGGTCTAACAGAGTAATATATTCATGAATCATGATCATGATGAACGAACTTTTCTATACCAATGCTAATGTCCATCTAGAATTTGCCGGACTTTGTCTTATACTTTATATGTTTCGTTATAAGTATTATTTAGACATATTTTACATAGATTAAGAAAATAGAAAAATATATTATTATACCTTTATTTAATATACAATTATTTAAATAAAATAATTTTCAAAAAATATATTAATTAATTAAAAAATAATAAAGAGATTATGTTTGAAAAATTGCATTAGAAATTTAAGTGATGCTTTTTTGAAAAAAAAAAGTAATATGACATTTATCTACAAACAGAGGTAATAATATATGTGTGTATATATATATATATAAGGTATATTAGAATTAATATATTTTTATAAATCTGATGGAATATATAACTCATGTGTTTAGTAAGAAATTGTTCTCAGTTCAAGCAGACACTAGATTATTGACATGAACATAGTATCATTTTATTAAATGCTTACATGCTGTGTATATGTATAATGTTTTTCATTGTAAGTGCATTTTTCAATTTTAATATTGTTTCACCAAAATGTTGTTCAGTGTTTTGAAGGCATTTTACACAATAAATGCATGTTTTATAATTATAAATTTCCTCTTTTGGTCTTCAAATTGACAAATTCTATAAAAGAATTCCAGGACTTGTTTTGTCACCCTGAACTAGAAAAGTAATGTTTATTGACAAACTCCTTTTCTACAAAAAGGTTTTTGTTTTAGAAATTAAATGCTTACATGTTGTATATATGTATACTGTTTTTCATTGTAGTGAATTTTAAATTTTAAAGTTTTTTTTAGAAAAAATTTCTTCAGTGTTTTGAAAGAGTTTTACACACATAAATGCATGTTTTTAAAATTGTAAATTTCCTCTTTTGGTCTTCAAATTGACAAATTCTATGAAAGAATTCCAAAACTTGACTTATCACCCTGAATTAGAAAAGTAGCATTTCCATGGTGTTACATGTAGGAGAGGGGATGGCAGAGCCTTTCTTTTTTGAGTGGGGAAAAAACAAAAGTTAAAATGGAGTTTGGAAAACAATGATATTAAAATAGAGAAATTAGAGTTATGACAAACAAGAAAAATATAATTCACTACTTAATTAAAAGAAATACCATTATATCCAATATATTTTCTATCTTATTTGTCAAAATACGCTTTAAACAACTGTTTTATGTTTTCTATTTTCTCTTTTCTTTTTTTCCTTTTTCATTCTTCTCTCTTTCTCTTATTATTAATTTTCGCATACCTTTGTTTTTATACTCTGTTTTCGTGTTTGAATTTTGCAAGGCATATTGGAACTATTGTTGCATCAGCGTTAGCGTCAGTTATTATGCAGATCCGATGGTGAAAAATAACGACGGCAAACTAGCAAATGTGCCGTGTTCGAAAAAGGAAAAGAGATGAAGAAGAAGATGGTAGTGAAAAGTAATGATGATGGACCAGTGAATGTATATCGTCATATCCGAAAAGAGAAAGAGGTGAAGAAGATGGACTTGCCCACTGTGTTATATTCTTTTGGGTTAGAAAATACAAACTTGATACCTTTATGTAGTGGAAGAGAATATGGAATAACTAAATGGAACTAAACAAAGCGAAACTAAACTGAGATAGGCTCCATATTCCTAAAAACAAACCAACGGTTACAGAGAAGGATAACAAACTAGAATCATATTCCATGCTATAATTAATTAATTTTAATAAATACTTTTCCCCGACTTACATCTATATAGAGATCATCCACCTCTCTCTTTTCTTCATATTAGCTTCAAGCAATTAAGTGAAAATCATTTCTTTATAGAGACACATTTGTAAGATAATGGGTTCCAATGTTTCATCTGTGAGTGATGTTCCTTCATCAACGGAAACCAAGAATGGTTTGGTTGTGGAAGTCGAAACAAGAAGACAATGGAGATCTCTCTTTGATTCCATGAAAGGGTCAAATAAATTGGTATGGGTTTATTAGAAAACCCACATTTTAAACCCGTTTCTATATTTATATCAATGCTTAATTATTTACAAGTTATTGAATTGGTTCTGTTCTACTCTAACTGAACAAATTGTGATGGTTTTGAAGCTAGTGATTGATTTCACAGCTGCATGGTGTGGACCTTGTAAAGCAATGGAACCTAGAGTTAAGGAGATTGTTTCTAGGTACCCAGAAGCTGTCTTTGCGAGGGTTGATGTGGATAGATTCATAGTAAGTAGTCTCTTTCATTTACGGTCCTCTTTAATTATAACTGAAACGTGAATTTTTAACTCTCAAGACTAAGCTATTTGATATGTATTTGTAGGATGTGGCTGGAACATACAGAGCAAATACACTTCCAGCTTTTATTTTTGTAAAGAGAGGAGAAGAGATTGATAGGGTTGTTGGAGCCAAACCTGATGAACTTGTGTACAAGATTGAAAAACATAGGGTCTAAAATTTATCTATTTTTAAACTGAAGAACAAAAGATTATACCGTTTGAGTTTTGATAAAAAAAAAAAGATTATACATTTGAGTTTTGATTAAAAAAAAAAGATTATACATTTGAGTGTTTGTGTGTTTGTGATTCACTGATTGAAGTTGTGTTTTTGGTTTGCTGTTTTATCAAAATTTATTAATAAAAATATCAAATTTGTTTGGATACTCATGAGAAATCATTTAGTAACAAAAACATGATACATTCTCTAACGTTGCAGCCACATTTTGTATGAAATTTAGTTAACATCGAGGAGAAAATCCTGTAACAGTGTTATATGAATATGGTAACTAGAAGTACTATACTATAAAAATAAGTATATGTGAATATATTAGTAGTTGGAGAAACAAAAAGTTACTAAACATTTTCGAATGGCTTGAGAATACATATCATGACATCAAAGAGAGGTTTTTCTGACCAAAGAGTATCCATCAACAGATGAGATGAAGATCCAAGTAGATCAGATCTGTTTCACACTGACCTCTATTTTGAAGGATTTGTAAAACACATTGTGTATATACACAAAACTGACTCTCAACATTCAAGAACCTTACATGAAAACTAGTCACCAAGAACTCTCTTAAGATCTGTCTTCTGTTCCGACGTCAACCTCGAAGGGAAACATATATCAAAGTTGATCCTAAGATCTCCTCTCTTGGAAACTTCTTTAGAGATAGGCATTCCTTCGTTGGGGATCACAATCTCCTGACCCGGTTTGACAATATCCAAAACCGGTATAGTTAGGTTCCTCCCGTCTAGTGTTGTTAGGCTTATAGTGACTCCTGTTAGAGCTTCCAAAAGGGAGAGTTTCTTGTCTACAATCAGATCGTTTCCATCTCTTGTGTAGACAGAGTGTGGTTTCTCGTCGATAACGAAGATGAGATCAGCAGGAGTGACTCCTGGTTCATGGTTTCCTTTCTCAGGGAATGTGATTTTTGTTCCTTTCTTCCATCCTGGTGTTATGTCTATCTTCAAAATCTCTTCCACTGTCTTTGGCTTCCTACAAAGACAGAGATTGACACAAGCAAAAATCTAAAACAAGTAAGCTATGCAAAACCAAATGTAGCAAAAGGAAATAAGGAAAGATCATCTAAAGCAAGCAACATCATCAACAACATAAGCTCTACACAAAACAGAGCATCAAGAAACTTGATTTGATTCACTTTACCAAATTATTATTTTTTTTTTTTGGGCAAATTCAGTTTACCAAATTAAAGAACTATAAATCAACGATGAAACTAATTTGAAAATGGCATTTCTTCTTTTTTCTATATTTTTTTTTGTCACAAATTGGCATTTCTTCAAGAATGTAAAATAACTAAGCTATGCAACATCTAAAATAACTAAGCTATGCAAAATCTAAATAACTAAGCTATGCAAAATCAAATTTAGTAACAAGAAACTTACAAGGAAGATCACACAGAGAACATAAACTCTACACAAACAGAGCATGAAGAAACTTATAAGGAAGAGAGATCACACAGAACACATGATCTACACAAAACAGAGCATACATCAAGAAACCTATACGATTCTTGATTTCATCAGAACACATGATCTACACAAAACAGAGCATACATCAAGAAACCTATACGATTCTTGATTTCATCAGAACACATGATCTACACAAAACAGAGCATACATCAAGAAACCTATACGATTCTTGATTATCATCAAGAACATGATCAGAGACAAAAAAAACTAACCCGAGACCATCAGGAACAACGCGTGAGATCCGCATCTTCCTCCTCCCACCTTTATACAACTCCTCAAGAGTACAAGCCAACTTACTCTCAATCGCCGGAGCCTTCCTATTCGCCGGCGGCGCCTTCCTACTCGTCTGACTTCCCGCCTCCGCGCTTCTAAACCTGCTTCCTCCTCCGTTATCACTGTTCCTCCTCCCTCCTCCGCCGAATGCATCCCCTGACGCGCCGAAAAACTCGTTAAAAATATCCTCAGCGTCTCGCGGATAATACCGAAACTCGTTGTTGTTGCTGGAGGAGTAGCTTCGCTGCGTATTAGCCGCCGGAGTTGGTAAGTCGGAAGACTTAAGACCGTCCTCACCGTACTGATCGTAGATCTGACGCTTGTGAGGATCGCTTAGGACATCGTAAGCTTCGGAGATCTGTTTGAATTTAGCTTCTGCTTCTTTCTTGCTCGAAGGGTTCTTGTCTGGATGCCATTTCATGGCTAATCTTCTGTAAGACTTCTTCAGATCATCTTCGCTTGCGGTTGAGGTTACGTTTAGTACGTTGTAGTAATCAACACCCATTGGTTACGTAATTTAGAACGATCTGATGTGGGAGTTGGATTTTGGATCGGAGTGTGTTGGAGAGGAGAATGGGAGAATAAAGAGGAGGCGTGAGGAAGGAGAGGAAGAGAGAGTGGAGTGCGTGTAAGGTAGAACATGCCAAGCAGAATGTGGTACCGAATTTGTTATATTGAATAAACATTGATGGGAACCTTTTGTTGAATTTTTGAAACAATTATTGTACTCTTGTCTTTTTGTCTTGACTGAGCTGGACGTGCTTTATTGGATAAGCACTAAGCAAAAGCTTACGTATGCTGCGGTGCGTTTTTAGGGAGGTACTTCCGGTGGGCTACGATTCGTTGGAGGCCAAATGAAAGCCCACTCTCACTCTCTTCAGTACAAATTATAAAGCTTTTTGGCTTTAAATGGTGGTGACTAGGTTTGGGCATTTTACCCAGAACTCAAGACCCGACCCAAAATCGATCCAAAAAATGTGCTTCTGATAGGAACCGAACCAATCATTTCTATTGAGTCTTGTTGTGGAAGACCCACGGGTCTTGGACCCGACCCAAACCATAGGCCCGATGGATACCTAAAATATCTAAAATTTCTAGTATATATTTTGTATATATATATATATATATATATGTATATATATATATATATATATATATATATATATATCTGTGTGTGTGTGTGTGTTTAGTATATTTTTGGGCCGGACCCGACATGACCCGAACCGAACCATACCAAAAACCGAATCAAACTCAAATCGATAAATTCTAATTACCCTATTGGGTCCAACTATTTAAGATCCAAACAGAACGAGACCTAGTAGAACCCGAACCAATCCCGAACTAGTAAATTCTAATTATCCTATTGGGTATAAATACCTAAGAACCGAAAGACCTGATAGGACCCGACCCAAACCCGATCCGAGGACCCGAATGCCCAGGTCTAATGGTGACTAAGAGAATGAGTGGAAATAGTGAATTCATTTTGGCTGCAATTGGATTGTTTATTTTCTGAATGAATGATGTGCAATGGTTTATTCCATTAATCTTTATTAAAAAACTAGGGATTTTCCCGGGCTACACCCCGGTTTTTGACTAAAAAAATTTATTTTATTTATATAACACCTATATATTTTGGCTATGTTATATAAATAGTAATTATGAATAATATTCAGAAAATACTCTCCAAAACTATATAAGCATGTGTATTTTTTGTATCGGTTTGGTCTGGTTTATTTTAGTTTTCGATTTTTGGTTCTAGAATATAGGATCCCTTCAGGTATTTAGAAAATTCATTTGATTTTGGTTCAATTATTTTGGTTTTTGATTCAGCTTGGATAGAAAAGTTAGAAACCGGCTAATATTCAAGATAAATTCGGATCTAATCCGAGTTTCGTTTAGTTTCAGTTATTCGATCAATTTGGATTAAAAAGTTAAAAAATGTTTCAGATTAAATATAAGATTTTGGGGGTTTTGAATAAAAGTGCTGATAACTTAAAATATTTTTGGATGAAAAATATTTGGAATATTCGGTTTATAATTATATTGGTAAATTAAAGTAAGATTAGTCTATGAGAATAGAGCAGTCTCTGACATGATTACAAAATTATAGCACAAATTATTATCAAAAAGTATTATTAATATGTAAATTAAATAAATATCTTGGAGTCAATATTTGGCTCGGAATATGTCTTAACATGTAATGATATAAAATTATAATATGACAATATGTCAATATACATGTGAGAGAATAAGTCATGTATCATTCAGAAAATGTCTTCAATATAAAAATTTAAATCTTCTACGTATATTCAGTATTTTAAAATCCGATTCGGATCCGTGGCCGAATCATAAACCCGGTGATCCGATAGATAATCTTGTTTGATTTTTTTTTAAAAAGTCATTGTATAAAAACCAAACAAAACCTACAAAACGGCTAAAACCCAAAACTCAGTTATTGGTTGAACCATTAATTAATACAATAAAACTTTTACTTGTTTGTTCTTAGATTTTTGTAATACATTATTACAATTTGGTTTCTATTCTAATTAAGAAGTTAGATCTTCAGTTTTTACTATCGTTTTCCACTGACAACTTTGTATACAACCTTTATAGTGATCTTTTATCACTATAACTTTTTCATGTTGCCTATGCTCTCATCTCCTCAAGCGTAAATATTGCTACTAATTATGTTTTTGTTTATGATTATCCAACCCATTTTTAACAATTAGAGGCCCACAACTATATTAGTCTGAGTTTCTACAGATTATTTTGGTTAATTAAAGAACCAAAACTACTAAACTTCTACTAAAATTATTGCTCCTCCCCCCCCCCCCCACCATGGTACCCATATACAAAAAACACGAAATCACATTTTTTTAAGAAAGATAATTAAATTTATGGTTGTATATGCCATGACTTGTGATACAATTTAGAGAAGAGAGACATTGCACATAGAAACTAAAATTACATGTGTTCTAGGGTATGGAACTTTATTCAATTGTTTCTACCGATGGAAAACACTACGCAAAAGGTGATCTAAAATCACATAAATTGGTCAACTGTAGGGGAAATTAATATCCTCATCGCAGTACAGACTGTTAGACCATGTGCAATGGGGAATCCTTAAGGAGAGTCCTTAGAAAAATATTAATTTTATAATCACTGAGTCCCATGAATAGTTAATGATTTTATCCTTAAAATCCTTATTTAAGGATTGATCCTTTCACTATTCACGGGCTCCACTGCACACGTGACGACACGTGAATGGTCAATTATTTTTTAAAAAAAAATCTAAAATATCCTTATATAATCTGAAATATCCTTTTTGTTTTTTTTCCTAAGGACTCCCCCTAAAGATTCCCCATTGCACATGCTCTTAGAGTATCCACAATGGCGGATCCTTGGGGGGAATCCTTAGGAAAAAAAAGAGGTATTTCGGATTATACAAGGATATTTCAGATTTTTTCTTTAAAAAAAAAGTGACCACTCACGGACCGCCACGTGGGCAGTGGAGCCCGCGAATAGTGTAAAGATCAATCCTTACATGAGGATTTTATCCTTAATATCCTTAAAATCCTTAAATGTTTATGAGACCCATTGATTATAAAATTAATATTTATCTAAGGATTCTTCCTAAGGATCCGCCATTGCGGATGGTCTTAGCCTCATTTCCTTATTTTCGGAGTAATTACCATGATTTCTATAATTATGAGCTCCATATAGTCAACTCAGGCTTTGGGGAAGAGTGCCATATAGTCAACTCAGGCTTTGGGGAAGTGCACTCTGTAAAGAAAGCAACTTTGATGCTACTCATTTAGTCATTTGATACATAGATTACTCACCTAACCTCTATAACTTCACACAAGATGCCACATTTACAGCAAATCCTTGTCCTTTTCATGGTAAGAATACAAATGTTTTTAGTATTATAGTAGCCATTCAAGAATTCCCTATAGAAACACAAAGGAAATTACGTGATGGTACTAACAAAACAAAAATGAAATGGTTCGTAGATCAATTGAAAACTACGTCTTTTTCATAAGAAAATTTGTATTTGTCATAAGAAAACATGTTTTTTCAGAGAACATGCCTCGCAACAATTGGATCTGAGATAGAAAAAAAACAAAATCTTTTGGACCACGCTTTATACACTCCTCCATGCTTTAGATGAAAATGTCGCAGAATCAAACAAAGTTGATAGCTTCAAGTAAAGCATATTAAGATGAATTCTTATAGAATGTAGATACCTCCAAGAACCAGTCGTATAGTGATTCAGTAATGGGCATTGATCCCAAACTTCTGTTGGATCTCGATAAGAACTGAATAATGAGATTTGAAAAAGCTTACTTTCTCTTATTGATCAACTGGCTTTATATAGCCTTTACCCAAGTACAACTGCCTCCTACATTCTCGGAGGTCTTCTACAACGTGAAACAAATTTACTTGACAACTACTCCTACATAGTAGGCACTTATTAAACAACCACTACTTCAGCTAAAGACTAAGTCTAACAAATCCTTCCCTAAACTGATATCTCGAATGAAATATCAGTTTACTTAGGCATCTCAACCATACCAATTTCTCCCCTCAGCTTTCTGAATGTATCCAACTTCAGAGGCTTCGTCATGACATCAGCTAATTGATCTTTAGTTCCACAGTGAACAAGCTTCACCTTCCCTTCTTTAGTTAGCTCCCTTAAGTAATGAAATCGCACCTCGATATGTTTGCTACGTCCGTGAAGAACAGGGTTCTTTGACAACTGAATTGTTGAGCTGTTGTCACACTTGACTGTGATGCAGTTCTCGTGATACTCTCCAATCTCCTCAAGTATTCTTGTTATCCAGATTCCTTGTGTTGCACATGAAACAGCAGCAATGTACTCAGCTTCCGTTGTGGACAACGCAACAATGGGTTGCTTCTTTGAACTCCATGATACAGCTCCTCCAGCAATGAGAAACACGAAACCAGATGTGCTTCTTCGATCGTCTAAATCCCCAGCATAGTCGCTATCTGTGTAGACTTGAAGCTCGTTGCTTCCACCACGTTTGTACACAACTCCAAGCTCCACCGTGTTGCGCACGTATCTCAATATCCTCTTCACTACTTGAAAGTGTGCTTCGGTTGGTTTCTCCATGAAACGACTAGCTAACCCCACAGCAAACGTCAGGTCGGGTCTAGTGACTGTAAGGTACATCAAACTGCCGATCATCTGTTTGTAGAGTGTAGTATCCAAGACAGCACCTCCTCCCTTCTTTGAAACCTTTGTTCCTGGAACAATCGGACTACTCACACCATTGCTCCGATCCATCTCAAACCTCTCAAGAACTTCTCTAGCAAACTTTCTCTGACATATGTAAATACCTTCCTCTTGCTGCAGAATCTCGACACCAAGAAAGTATCTCATCTTTCCAAGATCAGTCATATCGAACCTCCTCTTCATTGACTCTTTGAACTCCTGAATCATCCTCTCACAGTTTCCAGTAACAATGAGATCATCAACATACAAGCTTACAATAAGAATCTGACCTTTCTGTTCGGTTTTGATGACCAGAGTGTGCTCAAAGTCGCATTTCTTGAATCCTTCCCCAATGAAGTAACTTTCTATCTTGCTGAACCAAGCTCTTGGTGCCTGCTTGAGGCCGTATAGAGC